AATTAAGTGAAATATTGATATAGAAAAAGGTTGCTTTGATTTAAGAATGTATTTCATTGGGTATTTATTTCTAATAACATTGCATGATGTCTCACGATATAAAATTTCCATCATTCTGTTTTTTTCATAGGAAAAAAAAATCTGTTCCCTCCTGCTTGATTAAAAATAAAATACAGCAAAACACTGAAGGGCCTTGTAATCATCAAATAGATATTAAATTGTGTCCAGTGTCCAGCCTGACTCTGAAAAATTGCTCTCTCTTTTAATAAAAAGTAAAATTACTTTTTGGTCATCTTTATTTCTCAGAAATAGAATGCTACCACATATTTTCACAAACCATCCTCTGGTTTTAGATAAGGATATTTAAAATCCTTAGACCATTTCACATTTTTAAAATAAATATGAAGTTATTTTTTCCTGAAATTTAATTGATTTAAAAAATTGCTTTGAAACATGACAATTGTAGCTTAGCATGTAGTAATTGTCAAGACTTTTAAATTATAAAGCAAGAATGTAAAAATAGAATTTCCTTAAGCTAAAATGTGGTATTTATTAATTTAAGTACACAGATATGTTAGTGAGCCATCTGGCCTTAAAAGTGGTGCAAAGGGGATCTCTTTCCGTCTCGTGTATTTGTGTACTTTCCACTGTCTCTGCTTTTTTTCCCAGTGTAGTAAGCTTTGGGGTGGGAAAGTGGTTGAGGAGTCAGTGATCACCAGCAGCTGTGAACAAACTTCACACACACACACACAAAAAAAATCAAACTTCACAAAAAAAATCAAACTTCACAAAAAAAAAAAAAAAAAATTTTTTTTTTTTTTTTTTTTTTTTTGAGACGGAGTCTTGCTCTGTCGCCCGGGCTGGAGTGCAGTGGCGCGATCTCAGCTCACTGCAAGCTCCGCCTCCCGGGTTCACACCATTCTCCTGCCTCAACCTCCCGAGTAGCTGGGACTACAGGCGCCCGCCACCTCGCCCGGCTAGTTTTTTGTATTTTTTAGTAGAGACGGGGTTTCACCGTGTTAGCCAGGATGGTCTCGATCTCCTGACCTCGTGATCCGCCCGTCTCGGCCTCCCAAAGTGCTGGGATTACAGGCTTGAGCCACCGCGCCCGGCCAAAAAAAAAAAAATCTTTAGCTTTCCCAGTTCCACTGAAGGATTTTGATAGGAGCAGAGTACCCAATTCCTGTGATTAGTGCAAGTGGGGATACTTTCTCTTTTAGGGGGGCAAGAAGGTAGAGTCTGCTTTCAATGGATAGGGAAAGGCGAACAGGATAGTGCTTGGCTGCTCAGAGCATACAATGGAAACCTCCGCTTACCATAATATGTCTCTCCCATCGGTGGCCACCCCTCCTCACTCAGAGGCTGCCCACCAGCATTCGATGGCATGATTCTCTCAATATCCTGAACAACTCTCTGGATGATATTTGTTTTTCTTCATCAAGCCCAATTGTAGTGCCTCATGATTCTCAGCAACCTACAGGGCAAACTATTATCTTAACTAACCCTGGCACAGTCAATATAAATTTGAAGTGAAAAATAGCTCTGTTAAAATTAAAATTGCCATGTAAAAGAGAGAAACAGTGTTAGCCCCTAGTTGAGAGCACATATCATATCCTACTGTCAAGGCTGGTAAACCTTGCTTCCCTTGTGTGGATTTCTTTGGTCAACCCATCTGCCTGGCTAGATTCAGCCCACCTGAAAGGTTTTTCTTGTCCTCCATGGAACCCTGAGAGGGGAGCTGGAGAGAGGGGTGCACATGCTGTGACTGTGCTGATTGAGCAGCCACTTCATAGTTGCATGGGAATATGAATTAGGGGATTATTTTGTTATGCTAGGAGGTGGGGGGTTTTGTGGTGGTGGTGGTTTTATTTTGTTTTAAGAAAAAAATTTCCTAAAAATGTATGCTTATTGCTTATCAGTTTCACCACAGGGTAGCTAGTATCTAATAGCTAATTTTTTTGTTTTTCTTCAGTCTGTATCTTTGTACTGTCTCTGCCCTTGAAGTTCTAGCAACAAGCCTCAGGGCTCTGCTCATTCCCTAAATCCTTAGATTAACAGACTGTTTTTTACTTGACCTCTGCCTTGTGGCCACTGAAGACAATAGAAGGCTGTCACCTGCCCCCAGGCATCATCCCAGTTGATTTTTCGTTTCAAATAAGGTCCTTAATCTCTCTCTCTCTTTCTGTTTTGTTCTGTTTTGTTTTGCTTTGCTTTGCTTTGTTTTGCAAGGGATGCCTACACCAAGGGGTGTTAGGTCTAGTCCTGGAAGATCTGGTGCCCTCTTTGATATTTCTCCTTGATCTTTTTTCTAACTGGAGAATAGGGTATAGCACCCCTGAGCAAGATCTTAGATCACTTGGAAAGGGTGGAAAGCATCTCTAACTAAAACTGCATAATTACATGGTGACCCTTTTATGGTTGCAAATGAAACTTGGGAGTATGACTTTTCACTTCTTTTAGCCCCTAGAGAAAAGGCCATGGAACAAGCATTCTTACATTTTTCTCCCCAATTCTGAAAAGCTGCAGTTTCACTAGACGAAAAAAGTTGAATCCTAAACTCAATGAATAATAATTTGGCATGCTTAATTTTCTCTATCCATCATCTACTTTTACTTTCTTCTCTTTGTTCCTCTCTCTAAGGAATCTATTCAAAATTGCTGTTTCTCCTGGCTTCCATATTTCGGAAAGTTGTTTAACCTTTATGTGACTAATGTTCTGCGAATTTCTCAGTGGCTTTGATTCAGACTCTCAGATCTTTTGCTTCCTTCTTTTTAATTGCTTCTCTAGTTGATTAGTCCTGTGTATTTTAATATCTGATTATTTTTTCATCACCAAGACAGATACCTTCATCAGCCCTAATCACTCTTCACTCTTACTCATATCATCGCCAGCAGTTTTCAATTGTTTATTTTTCCCTTCTCTAACTTATGATATCCATTTCTACTTAATCTTCTTAAAAGGGTAAGCTGACAATGCAACCCCTTGCTCCTAAACCTCTGGTGACCTCATTCATTTTTTCTTTCAGTCTTTGATACGTGCCAAATACCATGCTAGTTACTGTAGATAAATGATGACTAATGCAGAGCAGCCCCAGCTTTCATAGTGTTTGTAGTCTATCCGGAAAGAAAAAAAAAGGAAAACTTTAAAGACAGACTTCTCTCCCTGGTTTTTAGAACTCTCTCCAAAATGGTCACAATTTTGTATCCTCCTGATGAAAACATTTATCTGACTTTTACAGCATATCTTTGGATTTTTCTCAACGTAAATAAAAAAGCTCTATGAAGTGAGAGCATAATGGCTTTTAGAGGATTCTTAACACTAGACTCTGCAACTTTAAGCTTGGCACAAACTCTTTGTGTCTCAATCTCTTACTTTATAGAGATAGAATCTTGCTCTGTTGCCCAGGCCGGAGTGCAGTAACGCGATCATAGCTCCCTGTAACCTTGAACACCTGGAGTCAAGTGATCTTCCCATCTCAGCTTCCTGAGTGGCTGGGACTACAGGGTCAGGTCACCACACCCAGCTAATTTTTCTATTTTTTTTGTGGAGACAAGGTATTGGTATGTTTCTCAGGCTGGTAATGAATTCCTGGGCTCAAGCGATCTTCCTGCTTCTGCTTCCCAAAGTGCTGGGATTATAGGCATGAGCCACTGCACCCAGCCTCAATTTCATAGTCTTTAAATGATAATGATAGGAAATAATTACTTACATGTAAGTATTTGCTTTGGGCTAGCAAAACCTAGTGGTTAAAAGCACAGACTCTCAGTCAGTCACACTGCCTGGCTCTGGGTCCTAGCTCTGCTCCTTATCAGCTATATGACTGTCAGGTCTCATTGCCTCGGCGTCTTCATCTGTAAAGTGGGGAGAATAACACTGGGAATGATTGAATAAGTTAATAAAGTAAAAACCACTGAAACAGTGCCAAGCACACTATAAGAGCTATATAAGTCTTAGCCATTTCTGTTAAATTTCTGTTATTACTTCTCTTTTCTTTTCTTTTTTGAGATGGAGTCTCGCTCTGTTGCCTAGGCTGGAGTGTAGCGGCAGCGCGATCTTGGCTCACTGCAACCTCCACCTCCTGGTTCAAGCAATTCTCCTGTCTCTGCCTCTTGAGTAGCTGGATACAGGCACATGCCACCATGCCTGGATAATTTTTGTATTTTTAGTAGAGATGGGGTTTCACAATGTTGGCCAGATCTCGAACTCCTGACCTCAAGTGATCCACCCGCCTCTGCCTCCCAAAGGGTTGGGATTACAAGTGTGAGCCACCACGCCTGGCCAATTTCTGTTATTACTTTTCTTAATAAGTGGCACTACTATTCATATTTTACCAATCAGGAAACTAAATACTTTGACCAGAGCCACGTGTAAGTGACAGAGTCAGGGTTCTAACCTGGGCATCCTAGTTTCAGAGGAGGCACTAGTAATTACTACTCTATACAGTCTCCATTATGGGATTTTGGTAATAATGTAGTTAAATAATATGTAATAAAATTTAAAACTATAATGCACTATGAATATTTAAGGTATTATGTATACTATAATGAGTTATGTTTGAAAGAAACACTAATTTTTTTTCTTTTCCATCACTTAAAACCTTTTCACTAGACCAGTAATTACAAACAGCATTTTAACGGCATTGTATAATTAGACAATCCCTTCAGATACATGCATGTATTTACATTGCTACTTTCAGAGGATGGCAAAGTCAGTAATATAATTTCTATTTTGAAAAAGAGAATGCTGAGGATCAGAAAAGTTAAGTAACTTGCCCTCGTGTTCACAGATACTAAATGAGAAAGTCTCCTAATGTAATTCCAAAGCCCCAAATGTCACCCTGTGTTTTGCTATCATACCCTGCTGTTTTCTAACGATTTTTTTTAACAGTTTGAAAACTAATTTTATAATATAGTGTACCATTATAAATTTATATAAATATTAATGTATCTTTGTGTACAACTGCATAACTACTTGAACTTATACTCTTTTTCTTTTTAAAGATTGTGATTGCTAGCATCATGTGCAGTTACAATAAAAATGACTGGATGGAACTTGCCAAAAAGTCTGAGGTAATGGTTACTTTCGTATATATTTATTTCATTTCTTCTCTCCTATTTTTATTAGTTTTAAATAAAGAGCTGCCATGAAAAATAATGCAGTAGAAGTAAAATTGAATTGAAAATGTAACTTAAAACATTTTTATTATAATTTGTTTACCCTGTGTTTTCATTAAAATGATGGAAATGTAAATTTAAAAGGAATTTATTCTATAAAAGCAGTCCCTTGGATTTCACTCACTACCTAAAAATCCTTTATTCTCTGAATCCATACACTCTTTATTTGCATGTTAAGCAAACTGTATATTATGATGGATGCCATGATAAAATTTAATTCTACCTTTGAGAGTCTAACTTGATCTTACCTTGCCTTTAGGCAAACTAGTTTGACAGTAAGAGAAGAAATTTTGAATATAAAACTCTTGAATATTTAAAGTATAAAAGGTTCATTTAATACTATTCTAGTTTGAATACAGACATGCATAAAAGTGTGGGACAGAATGCTTCTGAATGGAACACTAGTCAGCAGGTTTTCCATAATATAAATTGAATCCTGCACAAATGCAAACAAGTAACCATGTGCCTCAAATTTGTATTTCAAATAGAAAAATACATACTTAAAATTATACACTTATGTCCATCATGCTGTCATGGAAAATAGTCTGGAGAGTCTTAGCTGGGGTTTCTTGAAAACCTCTCGGTAATATAGAAGACTAAATCTAACGATACCGATGAACTAATTGAGGCTACATTATAAAATACTGCAAAGCTATCTATAGTGTTCAAAAATGTTGATTATACCTTTTATTTGGGTATTTTAAAAATGAGAAAGGAAAAAATTACTTCTGGGACTTAGAGGGGTGAAATTAAACATGATCAGTAATTGGCCTCGTGATCTTCCGTGCTGGGTTCATTTGATACATGTATTTACCTAATTGACCATGAAATCTTCCACAGAGCCCGTGCTTGGCCTGAGCTGTGCCAATTTTAAGCTGACTATGATGAATGGCTTTATCATGCCGCTTGCTTCTCTGCCTTTCTGTAAGAACAAAATACTTTTCAAAATTTTCTTTTTCAATATTAGACATTAATTTTTAAATAGGCAAGATTACTTTTTATAAGTCAAAAGCCTTTAATTGTAAACAAACTGGCTAACCTAAAGATATCTTTCACATTTCGTATGTTTCTTTAATTTCAGTTTTATTTAATATCACCTTCTAATTACTCTATAGCAAAAACATAAATAAAAAGAAAGGAAGAAAGAAAAAAGAAAGAAGGGAGGAAAAGGTATGCCTTTTGTTCAGTCAAAACGGTCTGCAAAATCTCCCCATAGGAGAGCAGTCTGCATAACAAGAAGGTATGATAATATCAATTAAAAAATAAAAATCTTCACTATAATCCTAAATCTGGACTAGCCCAGGAGATATCACATGAAGGAATTATCCCCCAGGCCTTCACAGCTTCTAGGAGGGTAATATTAAGCAGCATGACTTCATCACAGTTCATATGGTATGCACCCAATAACATTTTATAGAATCAGTATTTGGTTTGATTTTATGAATATGCTTCAAAACAGGTTAAAACAGATTTCCTTACAATGGAAAAATCGACATTAAAATCTTCAAAACCAACACAAACATATTCAAGTCAAAGTTACTGTACTACCTAACATGTACATTTCTTTTGGGTGTGGTGACATAGGGATGTAAGAAATCAGAGACACCACACCAGCACTCTTGCATGCCAACTGTTTTAAGTTTAGTTAATGATGTGATGTGATGATGTATACTAAATCTTAAGTTTATAAAACCCTCTTTATGGCTGATTAATTCTTGAATTACACAATAGAGAGCTGAGGAAACCTGCTATCAGCTTTTTGCTACTTTATCTGAAACAGAAATGACACATATGGAGCAGTAGAACCTTAGAATGCATACCCGTTTCGTGTTGTCTTCTATATTCTTCAACCTGGCTTGACTTTGTCATGTTTTTGAGCACCATAAAGAAGTTTCTACTGCTTGTGTCAAATCAGTAACATTGTTAGAATCTGGTTAGCTTTCTTGGTCCATGTACCTGACCACAGGCTCTCTTGCTTTTCTGGAACCTTGGTAGTATACTCCAAATTTATGCAAAAGAAGATTTATGAAACACCTACTATGTATAAAGTCCCTGACCAGCCAAAGCAAAGATGAACAGTAGGGAGCAATCAGATATATGCCAAATTGAGCCATTGCTGAAGGTTCACAGTATTCACTTGTCAATGGATCTTTAATCCAGTATAGTCCATCTTGAATCAATTTCTTTCTTAATTTGTAATCAGCCTTGAAAATAGAGCCTGAGTCAAAGTTAATGTGAAAAAAGCTTTATTGAAGTATATAATCTCAGAGCAGTAAGACTGAGGAGAAAAGAAAAATGAGATGGGGAGAAGGGAAAACAAGCACAATATGGTGTGTTCCAGAGCTGGACACAACTTCACAAGGAAATGCAGCCAATTGCTCAGTTATATGGGACAAGGAATAGCACATCATCTCACAATATGATAGAATCACCCATTGTCTCATCACTTTCTAGGAAAGGAAGTGGAAGGAATGAGTCTACTGGCTCCTTCAGTCTCCTGTCTCTCACCGGTCCCATTTCACTCCATAAGGAAGCTAGATTTCCTAGCGTGGGGTGTGATGCTTCATCTAAACCCAGAATTGAAGGGAAAGGCCAGAGCCTCCTGATTGGGCGTGGGTACTGGTGCTCCTGGAGCTCTCACTTTGACAGGCTCAGTGGAGGTTGTGACACAACCCAGTCTCATCTGGAGGGAGTCTGTGAGAGTGGACAGTTACTGTAGGAGATGTGAAGACAGCAACAGGGACTCGGGTTTCCCTTTGAAGTAGCGGCAAAATTCCTGGGTGACAAGTGGTGCCATCAAATTTGAGGAAGCATATAATTGGCTGTGGTCCAAAATGCATCATTACCAAGTTTATCAGCAATAGCTCCACTAATCATCTTGCTCTCAACCAATCCAAATTCTTTCCATCTTTCCTAATTTCAGAACCCTTGACTTGACCATTAAGTGCTACTTGGCCCTTCCCCTGCCTGCCTCTCTCCAGTGTCACTGTGGATCTGTTTTCTGCATTCCAGATCCTGCTACCTTCTTTTCCTCCTCCAACATGTTCCCAACTCAGAAAGTTTGCTGTTCCCTTGGCCTGCAATGTTCTCTCTTCCTCAACCCTGAGCCTCCAACCACATAAGTTAAACCTCCCTGTCCTATATTCTAAGCCCCTGTCTTCAGAGGCCAGTTGACCAGATAGTTAATGAAGCTTAAGCTTCAGGGCATTTACTTGCATGGACCATTTCCAAGTCCCTATACCTAACTCTGTGTTTACAATGTTTGGTTATCGTTTTTTCCTTAAAGAGGGTTTTCCAAATTACTTAAGCATTAGGCTCCCCAAAATCTGGATCTACCTCTGTCTGTGCTTTTCCTCTGTAGCATATAATAAAATGGTGATTAACAATTGTGTCATTAGTCATTACTAATAGTTCCTCTGTCCTGCTTGTTAGAAAGCATTACACAAATAATGTATTTGTGTAATGTAAATAGTGAAATAATATCCATGGGGATCGAGACCCCTGTGTGGTTCACTGCTTAATCCTCAATTCCTAGCACAAGGCTTTCTCTCCAGCAGATATTTGTTGAATGAAGTAAAAAAGAAGTATACAATTTGAGTATTGCCATGTGGCAAACAAAAAGGAAGCCATTACAGAATAAATGGGAAGAGTGGTATTTTATTTGGCACCCATGAACTTGAAGGGTTTAAAATCCAATGATGATGATTTTAAGTCAGGTACCTGATGAGGGATTGCCAAGGTTCTGACCACCTTTGGTAGGAAGAGACAAGGAAGATCCAGCAGAAAGGCACAGGCACTAAAACCAAGTTCCCATACTATTCCTAGCAGAGCCAAAATAAAACACTAACAAGCCAGGTTCCTATCAGTTTTTTTAGCTGAATCTGGGCAGCAATACGTCATGAATTTAATAGCTGTGAGAGTTAGAAATTTCAAATAGTTTGAGGTAAAAATCAGACAGAGGCACATTACAGAAATATGTAGGACCAGTTGGATATAAGTTTCTGAACAGGGACAGTAAACAGGACAGAATGGAATCACAGGAGATAGACACACAGCTGGAGATGAGAGATAGTAACTGACTTTATGTCCAGTGGGGCCCAAGCTAAGAGTACTTTACCTGTCCCAGGTCTATCTCGGAGAGTTTTAAGATCCCAGAGAACTTTAACTCCAGTTTTGGATAGTTGAGACTAGAGGATAGCATTGCTACTTAGAAAGTCAACATCTAACCCCAGGTATTCATTTAACGGAAGAAATTAAGAGGGATCCAATAATTGTGCCTTTCATGCCCCACTACAGTACACTGTTCTCACCCTACTTGAGCTCTGATGTCCTTTGCCAGCCCCTATCACCCATGGAAGTCTTCCCTTCCCACTTGGGCTGTGATACACCACACCATGCCACTGGCCATGTAGATGTCCTTCTGGCTCTGCTCTGCGTAAGCTGTGACATCCCACACTGGGCCCTCATGGCTGCTCCTCAAATGCTCATGCTCACCTGCCTTACCTTGCCCTGACCAATGACTTCAGAGCTGTAGTGATCAGGAAAGTAAGCGAAAGAAAGGAAGAGGTAAGGAAAGAAGGAGAAGAGAGGAGAAGTGCTTTGTGCCTGATTTTGTTGTATATGTTGCACAAGAGTTTGTAGTTTTGCCACCTTAGTTTCTCTGGGTGTTTTTATAAAGTGGTTCAGAGAATTTTAAAAATTATACCACTGCCATATTCCAAGAATTTCTCAGGATAGTTTTCCTTTCCCTCCTGAGGTATAGACAATGTAGGACCAGATGAGTTATCTTAAATCATTTTAATATCAAGGCAGAGGAAGGACAAGTCAGAGGTCTTGTTGGATGGATAAATAAGTATTTAGATAGATAGATGATTGATAGGTAGGTAGATCGACAGATAAAGTATTTAGATAGATAGTGTACACCTTTATAGTATTTACTATATTCCAGAAGTCATTTACTTACTTAGTTTTTATCACTCCTCTTTAAACTTTTATATATGTTAAAGCTCTTATTTTTCTTTTCAGTTGACTTAAAACTGTAAAAAATAAACTTTCTCTTTTGGCACTTCTCATTTCCTGTATTAGCCTTGGAAACATTTAAAAATACATCTCCCTAGAATTTTTCTGTGCAAATATCAAATTTATTTATACCTTATAACAACAACTCTGTGACTTCGTTCCACTTTTTAAATATATTTTTATTTTTAATTTTTTTTTTTTTTGGAGTTCTAACGTATCACTGACTTGATGTTTTCCTCTTTTTTTTTTGAGGAAACTAAGGCCAAAAGTAGTGAAATAATGTATTCAAGTTCACACAGATAGGATGGAGTAAAAGTGGGATTCAAACCCATAGTTTGGCTCAGAGTCCACACTATCTATACACACACACACACACACACACACTCTACTGCATGTAGGTGGATGATAAATAGATAATGTAGGAAATTAGTAACAGTGTATTTCCTATGTCACTGCCATCACTAGGCTATTACATTTTATAACCATTTAGGTGAGGTAGAATCAACTCTGGGTAAGTGACTAAACTAAAAAGCTTGTGACTAACAAGAATCAGAATGCATGCCCAATTTCAGTTAATTTAACATTTCATGCTAATTCAGCAATTAAGGCTTTTTGAATGGTTAGAGTTGCTTGGAAATGGAATCAACTGCCTTTTAAGGTGGTGTGCATCCTGAGACAGGAATTTTCAAGCAGAGGCCACATGAATGTTCCTGTTCTCATGGTGTCACCTTGAACAGCATTGTCTGTTTTTGAGACTTGGATGCACATTTCAAAGGCCTTTCCAGGTGTGTTTGGTGAGTGGGCATTTGTATATGTGTCTAATGTTGGGGAAATTATAATAATTAGTCATTGAAAAAATTTTATATTGGACAGATGATTTTAAAATGTTTTAATTTTTGCTTCAAACTTGGAAGCTATAAGGATATCGAGCTGTTATGTTTTTCGTAACACGCTATGACAACTCCAGCCATAAAATAAGTGATTTGTAGTAAATTATAATAGTGGGCATAAATGCAGATCCTGGACTCAAAATGCTTGGGTTAAAGACCCTACTATCAGCTATAAGCTGTGGGATGTTGGATAAATCACTTGAACTCTTTAAGTCTTACTTTTATCAATTATAAAGTAGAAATAATGATATATCCTACCTCTTAGAGTTGCTGTGAGGATAAAGTAAGATAAAACATACAAAGGACATAGTAAAGTGTCTGGCATGTTGTAAATGCTGAATTAATGTTAGCTATTATTATGTAATATGGTAGCTAGGTGTAAGTTTGAAATGAAATATGCATAATGTAAATATGTATACAATTACCTTGCAAAGCCTTATTTATTCCAAAATGATGTTCAATTGATTTGCTATTAATTGCTGCATTTCGGTTAAATAGAGAAGTCTAAAGGAAATATTTGAAGTAACCAGGAAAAAATAAGAAACATGTTATATGCATATATTTGCACTATACAGTCTTTTCGCTAAGCTGGTAATTACTGCATGGCATGGTTTTGAGACAGGTCATATTATCCACAGTTGACACTTGAGCAGCTGGAGACAAAGAAGGTTGACTGACTTGTACACATCATCCCCAATTCCTTAGCTACAGGCATAAGATTTGAACTTAGGGTTCAGCAGGCTGTGCTCATCCATGCTCACTACAAAACCATCGAGGAAAGAGTAGCATGGTTTTCAGCAATTCTCAAATAACATGAAGACTTTTAAAATCGGATTAGGAAAGCACAACCATAATGAAACCATGTTAAAAAACAGGCTCAATGATCAAATGGACTTTAACAAATGTGCAGAAGAAAAAGCAGACTCACTAATGAATAAAGATAGGCAAGAAAATAAACTGAGAAATGACTAGCTGGAGTTCCTAAGTTTGTTGAGGTCCTACTTAACATTCATAGAACAGGAAAAAATAGGTTAAAATCTTAAACAGTTAGGAAGGAAAGAGAAAGAAGAAACAACTGTTGCCCTAAAGAAAGGTCTAGTGTACGTAGAAAGTAGTGAACTATTTTTTAAGCCTTTGCATGTGATAAACCTGTTAAAATACTGTTGTAACCAGTTCAAGCTTCTAGTTGGCCTTACTGAAAAATAAACCATGGCACTGGAAAAATTATGGAAGTTAGCTAAAAGAATATAAAATTTGAATCAGCTAGTTTTTTTGTTTTTTTTTTTTTTTTTTTGGAAATGGAGTCTTGCTCCATTGCCCAAGCTGGAGTGCAGTGCCTGATCTCAGCTCACTGCTACCTCTGCCTCCCAGGTTCAAGCGATTCTCCTGCCTCAACCTCCCGAGTAGCTGGGATTACAGGCAGACCGCCACACCCGGCTAATCTATTGTATTTTAGTAGAGATGGGGTTTCACTGTGTTGCCCCGCTGGTCTTAAAATTCTAAGCTCAGGCAGTCCTCCCACCTGGGCCTCCCAAAGTGCTAAGATTACAGATGTGACCTACTGCACCCGGCCACTATAATAACCTTTTTTTTTTTTTTTGAGACGGAGTCTTGCTCTGTGCCCCAGGCTGGAGTGCAGTGGCGTGATCTCGGCTCACTGCAAGCTCCGCCCCCCGGGTTCACGCCATTCTCCTGCCTCAGCCTCCCGAGTAGCTGGGACTACAGGTGCCCGCCGCCAAGCCCGGCTAATTTTTGTATTTTTAGTAGAGACGGGGTTTCACCATATTAGCCAGGATGGTCTCGAGCTCCTGACCTCATGATCCGCCTGCCTCGGCCTCCCAAAGTGCTGGGGGTTACAGGCGTGAACCACCATGCCCAGCCTGTAATAACTTTTAAAAGTGTTTTGTTTATTCTTCAAGTTCTTTACAGAAGACTTCCCACACATTCTAAGATTCTCAAAATATTCTAAGAATACTTAGAATGAATTATGTTGTTCATTTATATAAGATCTATTTGTATACTAAGGAATTAATTATTTAAACAAGAAGGATTCCTATTACTACTAAGACAAAACTATCAATACTTCCTATTTCTTAGATAAACTATTTTAAAATATGATAATGTTGATTTTCAGTTAAAAACATTTTACATTTTGTTTATTCATTCTAGCTAGCCCACTACATTTTTCTTTGTATGCCTACTCCGAGCGTCAATTATTCAAAATTAGTAAGATTTGTGTCCATAAAAATAGAAGCTGTTTAGGAAAGAATAAATGTGATATCAAACAGATCTGAGTTACAATCTCTACTGTGTCACCTAATAACCAAGCTTGTCATTTAACCTCCCTATGCTTCAGTTCAGTTGCCTGTAAAATTGGTATCATAATAATACAAAGATTATGAGAATTAGAGGTAACAAACATAAAGCATATAGAGCAGTGAGTGGCCCCTTATAAGCACTCAGTAAATATTTGGTGTGTGATTGTTGTTGTGGTGGTGGTTGTTATATAGACCTTAATTTGAGAGAGTTAGAATATACCTCACAAGATAGCTGTGATACAGAAAACAGAATAGTTAACACTTGACAAATGTGACTTTTGTTATCAATGGTGAAAGCTTATTGGTATATAAATAAAGCTTTGCCTTTTCTTTCATTTTCCTTTCTTGTTTAAAGGATTCTGGAGCAGATGCCCTGGAGTTAAATTTATCGTGTCCACATGGCATGGGAGAAAGAGGAATGGGCTTGGCCTGTGGGCAGGTAAGGACCTTGACAGCTGCCACTAAGTATGTCAGTGTGACATAATAGGCCCCTGTATGGATAGTTACTATACCTTAGGCAAGGAGATGCATGGATCAGATGACTGGCTAGAGACTTCCAGGTCTGCATTGTTTAAATATTTAGTGCTTAAAAAGTGGAAAATGAGGGAAGCTGAAATTATAGCAACTGTTTAGTTTTATTGAGGAAAATATCACATTATGTGCTTGACAGGAAGTAATATCATAACAAATAGTTTTTAAAAGCGCTGAAGCAGAATTAGCTGATTTCAAATGCAGTGTTCTTTATTCATTCCTGATGCTGATCCAGTTTCCCTGGAGCAATATACTGTACAAAATGCATTGTTCGTAGTGATTTTGTAGTAAATGGGGCACAGCACAAATTGCATTTTACATTTTTTAGCATATGATCATTATTCACTAACTGTGTTTGGGGAGTTGCAAAAAGACTTTGATGCTATTTTTATTTTGGATACAATAAATGGAACCTTCATACTAAAATACTTTCAAAAGCCTAATGAACACAATGTGAAATAATATGTTAATATATAGAAAACACTGCATCTTTATGTAACTAGTTACAATGTTGGATGTTAAGGAGCACTGTAAAAACTTAATGCTAAAAAGGTGAGTATTTTGCATCTCATAATTTAGCTTTCAAGCCCAGAAGGAAATGGTGTGAATTAAATAGTATGAAATGTAGTAATTTCTGACAGATTGTCTAGTCTTGGAAAGTTTACTTTTATCTCCATGTCTGGCACAGGGCCTTGTACTTAGTAGATGCCCAGCTTTTTTTTTTTTTTTTTTCTCTCTCTAGTCATCAAATTGATTTGAATTAAACTCAGAGGCCCTTAATTTGGGAGGACAAACATTTCCGCTTATTCAAATGAACATAGATTGCTATCTTTGTATTAGCAGTCAGGAAGAATTTTAAAGTACTTCGTAAATATTTAACATGCAGAATAGATTTGTGACTTAAGGAGAAACCATTGTTACGTAACAACAGGAAAGGAGGGTCTAGTCAAATATTTTTCAAGTATATTCTCTGTTCCGCTCACAACAGGTTGCCCAGAAGATCAGTAACTATGATACATGGTAACAGAACCAAGACTCAGAACTACCCAGTATGGGGAAAATATCATGACATCGAATCATGACTTTTATGAGTCACATGGTTAGATATTAGCATGTTAAGATGGGTAATGTGATTACAATGAGAAGGATTCCTTAAAGGACACCTGGAATGGGGGCTGAGTTAGTATTCTTTTCCCATCTCAAGTCAACATTGTCCCTCCACTCGTTTCACAGTCTCTGAATCTCAGAACTGAAATATTTTTTAGTTACATGGATAGAAACAGCTATGGAGGTTTTAAATCTATTGATTGCTTTGTTAGGGGAGAATGCAATTCAATATTTCTCTCTTGCCACAAATATGACAATTATTTTGAAAATGTTACCCTAGTCCCACCTGAGTTTATTTTTTGGAGTAGACTTTTGCTATATGAGCACATCTCAATTTACTCAGCCTTTAAGTGTCTTAGGTGTATCCTTTCTAGAGAGTTATTTAGCCACATGAAGTTTTGCACAGCCTTTGGCTGAATGAGAATGCCAAATGCTAAAACTTTGCAGTCAGAGATATCATTAAGCTTTCTGAAAACTCTTGGAAAACACATGTTCCAAAAACCATGATATCTTGGCTGAAGAAAATTTAGGAACGTTTCCATTTCACTTATTAGTTATAATCTCTAAAACTGAAACCAATTCTTCCTATCAGCCAAGTTTAGAAATTTTCTTTTGAATGATATTCTCTTGTACATTATATAATTGAAGAATAAAGCTAATTCAATCATTTTTGTTCCAACATATTTTAAATGATTTCTCTGCCTGAGGACACATGAATGTTCCATATTTTAAATAAAGAGAACTTAGAATATTAGTGCATTTTTTAAAAAATGCTTTCCTGTGCCTCTGACTTCCTGAAGTGAGCACTAACACACTCGGGCTTATTCGCCTTTTCCTCTAGTTCCTTTTACCCCTTCTCTGCCTCCTGTTCCCATTGCTTCTCCTTTTACCTCCCTAAGTTCCAAAGTCTTGAACACTTGCCAATTGGTGGGATGGAGAATTTATACTCAGTGGTGGGGGACTGAAGAGTCATTCTAGTCCCTCTTCCCCATTGCTATGTGGTCTTGCATTTCATCTGTTGAAAACTTACTATGTGCTAAGCACAGAGCTGCATGCATGGTCAGAGCCTAATCAATATTTGCTTCAAGAATTAGACATGCTGTTGGTTCCATGGCTAAAATATTTATCTGCCAGAGACACCTTCTTGTTCAGTACACATTCCTCTCTAAATACCTGATTTTGTTCTCCTTTATCTCAAATATTTTCTCACAAATATTTAACGAGTGAAAAATGCTGCCTTTGCACCTAATTTGCCTGTGTGTAATCAACATTATATAGATCTAACACTGATATATATATACACATATATATAGGCTCATATATATACCTATATATGTAAAATAAGTGACTAAAAATCATGAAATTTATGAAGAGGGAAGGCCATAATCCATACTCTACAACATTATAGGTTCCATGTTTATTTATGAAATTTATAGAAACAGAATCTCAAGCTGACCTTGGGAAATTGCATTGTATATTCCTTCAAGTCAAAGCTTCATATCAAATCTTAAAACACTTCAGCATGGCTGAGTGTTTAAAAGTAGTCTCATGTATTCATTCCATCAGCCATGTGTCACCTTGATCAAGCCACTTGCTCTCCTGAAGGATAAGTATCCATCTCTAAAATACGGGATTTGAACTAAATGATCTTGAAATCCCCTTTAAGCTTTAATATTCTGATAATGTTAACATTAAAAATAGCAGGCTACTGTTATTTTTAAACTACCTTTAAAGAGCATTATTAAAACAAAAACAACTAAAGAAATAAACAAACGCCTATTATGTTGCTCTTTTTAAAAAAAAAATAAGTTCTGGGATACATGAGCTGAACGTGCAGGTTTGTTACATAGTTATACATGTGCCATGGTGGTTTGCTGCTCCTATCAACCCATCATCTAGGTTTTAAGCCCCTCATGCCTTAGGTATTTGTTCTAATGCTCTCACCCCTCTGGCCCCCCACCCCCCAACAGGCCCTGGTGTGTGATGTTTCCCTCCCTGTGTCCATGTGTTCTCATTGTTCAACTCCCATTTATGAGTTGGAACACGTGGTGTTTGGTTTTCTGTTCCTGTGTTAGTTTGCTGAGAATGATGGCTTCCAGCTTCATCCATGTCCCTGCAAAGCACATAAACTTGATTTTTTAATGGCTGCACAGTATGCCATGGTGTATATTGTGGAAGACAGTGTGGCGATTCCTCAAGGATCTAGAACCAGAAATACCATTTGACCCAACAATCTCATTACTGGGTATATACCCAAAGGATTATAAATCATTTTACTGTAAAGACACATGCACACATATGTTTATTGCAGCACTATTTACAATAGCAAAGACTTGGAACCAACCCAAATGCCCATCAATGATAGACTGGATTAAGAAAATATGTTGCTGTTTTTAAAAACACTAACATTGCCTTAGCCTGCATTAAGGCAGTATTTTACTTGTGATTCTTGTTTTTACTAATGCTTACCCTAACTAATGCTCCCCGCTTTTTGGTATATTTTACTTTGACGAATGAGAATCTAAGCAGCAGTTGCTCAAAAAGGCTATGATTGGTTAAGTACACATCTTGTACTTAAAGTGGCTAGGATAGAACCCTTGGTCTTTTATACTAGAGGCTGAACCTCCATTTTAGTTAATGGTGTCAGTAACCCTGAGGCTCAAGCAAAGGTGAAAATATCATTCAGTTTTGGTTGTGTTCATTCCAAAGAGTCAAAGTTGTATTACAGCATGAAAAATAAAATACAACTCTTCTTCCATTCCCTCCCAACAACCCTCTGAAGCCGGATGAGTTTTTATTCCATTTTTCCCAAAGCAGAGGCCCTCGAGTTTCCCAGGTCAAAGATCTGGTCAGTGGCTTCCAGACCCGTACTTTGATTTGATAGTAGCCTGAATAAAGGGCAGTTGTTCCTAATAAGTAGGTATTCCAATATCAATGTTAAGTATCAGTATTATTAACTGAAAATTAAGTGCAGGATTACATAAGCTCTAAAGTTTGTTTATAATTCAATTTCATTTCTCTAAATATATGAAACTACAAGCAAACGTGAATCCACTGTTTAGGTTCTGTCTCCTGCGACTAAAGGTGCTTCTCTGGTGTCTTAGCATTCAGATTTAAAGTTGTCTACATGCAATTTATATAAATCCATTTTCTGTAACAGCATATTACTTAATAGATGTAATTGTATTATAACCAATTCTATAAAATTCAGCCAAAATCACACCTTTTTGAGGTCTTCCCCTTTTCCTACATGCTACATGTTCTTATCACATTGAGTACTAACCCTCTTTTAGCCTACTAAAATTACATTAGATTTTTTACTTCCATCCTGCAGAACCTTCTTACCCAGTTCAGGCTAGTACTGAATAGACCTCGAGTAGGCCTTTGTGTTGTTGTGTTTTTAAAATTATGGCCAACAATAGGTGGCACAAAAAAATCGTATTATTTCTGTTAAAATAATGACAAGATATGGTCTTCCCTGGCCTGCATTGTCATGCAACAATAAGAAGGTAGACCTTAATTAGGCTCCTCTGACACTGTTCCTGGTACATGTAAATAGTAGCAAACATTTGACTAAGAATATGTGTTCATTCTCAAACGTGAATTTGACCAGTATATTTCTTTCTGATTCACCTTTACATATCAAGACCAACCTTCCCCAGGAGTTTTACTGAACCTCTGAGTTCCTGACATTGTTGTCTTTGGGCTGCCTTCTTTGGCCAGCACTACCTTTAATTCTTAGACCTACCTTCAGCTATCAAAAGAAAAATAGTTGCCCAGGAGTTGTAAGTGGAGTGAGAT